CGCCTGCGAACACACGGGGTAATAAATCAGACTGTCAGCACCTCCGGCCCAATACACAGAACATGCCTTTATCAGGACACCGAGAGCCCCGTCGCTAAATATAACAGACCACACCGCTGAAGACGAGAGAACAGACAATGAGAGGAGAGAGAGAGAGAGAACATGATGGGGGAAGAATGAGAAGAGAAGAGAAATGAAGGAAAGAAAGGAGAGAGAGAGAGAGAACATGATGGGGGAAGAATGAGAAGAGAAGAGAAATGAAGGAAAGAAAGGAGAGAGAGAGAGAGAACATGATGGGGGAAGAATGAGAAGAGAAGAGAAATGAAGGAAAGAAAGGAGAGAGAGAGAGAGAACATGATGGGGGAAGAATGAGAAGAGAAGAGAAATGAAGGAAAGAAAAAAAGACAAAATATAGAAAATAAAAGATACAAGTAATATAAGTGAAACTTAAAGAGAAACAAAACAGAAAAAAGTGAAAAGAAAAGAGAGAAAAGCAAAGGAGAAAATGAAAGAGGAGAGAAGATGATGAAAATAAAAAAAAGATAGAAAAGGAACAAAAAAGAATAACGAGAAAAGGAAAGAGGAGAGAAGATGAGAAGTGAAAAAAGAAAAGGGAGAAATCAGACAAGAAAAGAGAAAAAAGAAAAGAAAAGAAAACAAGTGAAATGCAAAATAAATAAAAAGGAAGCAATGCAGAAAGAATAAGGAGGTACAATGAAAAGGAAAAATAAATGAAAATGGAAAAGAAAAGAAAAGTGAAAAATGAATGGGAAAAAATGAAAAGGCGGGAGGACATCAAATTAAAGAGAAAAGGAATGTAACCATTTCTAAGACACATACCAGTATATTACACACAGACTCTCATTTGAATAAAATCAATTCACAAAAAAAAAAAAAAAAAGAAAAATGCAGCATTTCAAACTGAAAACCATTTTTAAAAAAGGAAAGGAGATGAACTGAGAGCAGAGAATGAGAGCGAAAGAGAGATGAGTGTGAATGTGTTTGTTCTCCTGCGGGTCACTGCGGGTCAGTGTGTCACTATCAGGGTGACACAGATGTGAGACATCTTACAGATATGTGTGTGTGTGTGTGTGTGTGTGTGTGTGTGTGTGTGTGTGTGTGAACAGCAGCGACGGCAGGAAGATGAATCCATTTATCTGAAGCCGCTTCACCTTATCAGTGACTCACTGCAGACCATCCACAAAACGTTCACTACTGAGGGTCCACAGCCACCAATCAACAAACACACACACACACACACACACACACACACACACTCACTCGTGTCCCTTCTTCAATGAAAGCTGATCTTTTTCACCTGTTTTATCATCCATTTGAAACTAGATTTTTTTACCCATTTATTGGCCGCAAAGAGTTAATTTTTCCACAATTTTCCCCTTATTTTTACCCAAAACGTTCACTACTGAGGGTCCACAGCCACCAATCAACAATTCTACAACACACACACACACACACACACACACACACACACACACTCACTCGTGTCCCTTCTTCAATGAAAGCTGATCTTTTTCACCTGTTTTATCATCCATTTGAAACTTGATTTTTTTTACCCATTTATTGGCCGCAAAGAGTTAATTTTTCCACAATTTCCCCCTTATTTTTACCCACTTTATTGACACCAAATGTAACTTTGCAACAGTTTATTCTTATTTTTACCAACTTTATTGGCTAATAAATGTAATTTATTTTATCATTCATTTCTTATTTCGTATGTTGTTCCACTGTTTTTTGCTCTTATTTTTAACAGTTTTACTGGCCACCACAAGTATATTTTTCCTTATTTTTACCCATTTTATTGCCCACCAAATGTAACTTTTTCACAGTTGTTTCTTATTTATTTATTTTTTACCTATTGGTCACTAAATGTATTTTGTTCAACATTTTTATTTTATTTTAACCCATTTTGTTGGCCACCAAAATATTTTTTTCACCTTTTTTCCTTCATATTGTCCCCCTTTTCTGGTCACCAAATGTATTTTTTTCCACCTTTTTTCTTATTTTTACCCATTTCATTGGCTATAAAAAAGTATTTTTTAATTCTCTGCTCTCAGTTCACCTCCTAACCTCTTTTTTTCCCCACAAACACTAACAGCACAAGCAGCACATGTACATAAACAACACTAAACTGGAGTTCAATTTGTTCTCTGTGAACTCTCGCCTCAGTATTTTAGCAACATACAGTACTGCTGTTTAAACAAGTCAAGTTTTCTATTTCTATTCCTTTTTAACTGTTAAACAATTTCAGGCCTGTAGCACTGAACTAAGGTCACGGGTTTGATTCCCAGTGAATGCACGAACTGATAAGCGTATACCTTGAATGCAACGCAAGTCGCTTTGGATAAACACATTTGCCAAATGCAGGAGTGGTTTGAAAGCATGATTTTGTGTGTGCGTGCTGAAGCTGGAGGACATGGAGAGCGCTTTGCTCCTTTGCCAAACTCTGAGTTTGTGGAGACTGAAGGGAATCTAGAATTGGGTTGTCAGGTTTCTTGGCAAAAACGAGGCATCGCTTAATCGACGCCAGAGATCCTGGACTGGAATTACACTCCACTCTCGTCCCTCAAGAAGCAAAGTTACTCACGTAGATCTCCGCGCCGTAGAATCCGTCCTGATACACCATCCTGTGAGACAGAGAAGAGAGCGTTTGATCATCACAGATATGAGCATCAAAACTGCTGCATCAGGAATAGTCACACGACTGTGAGAACTAAATGACTTTGCAGAGAGAGATGCACCTGAAAAACGACACGTCCAAGTAAGCTGTCAATCGATTCATTTTTAATTGCATTAATTATGTATCAGTTGATGTAATTACTATGGCACAGGTCAGTATTTGCAGAGAAAGACTCACGCGCCGTACGCTGGGATGGGTGGAGGAGGAGGAGCCGTACGGAAGGTGTTGTAAACTGCCCGGCCTCTGCCCCGCAGATGAGCGCCTCTGTATGCCACCGTCGCTCCTGCCGCGGGATACGGGAAACCTGTCACTGCACACACACACACACACAGGGAACATTTAAGAGAACGCACAGGGCAGTAGATGAGGTGCATGTGTCTCTATCACACAACGAGACTTATAAAGACAACCAGAGTCATGTTGCGAGGGTATTCTTGCTGGTTGCTAGTTGTTTTTTACTGTCTTGCACCCTCAGGTCTCTATGATCTGGTCTCTAGATATGGCTTGCATCTATCGTGTTTTATCATCCAAGCTTATTATTTTACACATTTATCAGTCACCTATTAGTTTTACCTATTTTATTGGACAACCAATTTTTTTAACAGTATTTTTTAAATTTTCTCATTTTACAATTTTCTCATTTTACATTTCATTTCTCATTTTTACTCATTTTATTGGCCAGCAAATGTAACTTTAACCATTATTTTCTCTTTTTTTTAAAACCCATTTTATTGGGCAAAAAAGTAATTTTGCAGTTTTTTCCTTAATTTTTACAAATTTTATTGGCCATTAAAAAAATATTTTTTTTTTCAGTTTTTTTTCCCTTATTTATAAACATTTTATTGGTCACCAAGAATTATTTTTGAAACGTTTTTATTTATTTGTATCCTTTTTTGTTAATTGGCTAGCAAATGTATTTTATTAACCAGTCTTGCCTTATTTGTACCCATTTTATTGGACACCAAAAGCATTTTTTTATTTTTACCTTTTTTCATTTTTTTAAACTGACTAGCAAATGTGCAGTATTTTGTTTACCATTCTATTCTTATTTTTACCTAATTTTATTTAGCAACAAATGTATTTTCCCCGTTTCTTATTTCTCACCAAATCTAATTTAATTTTTAGTTTTTTTTATATATATATGTTTTTGCATTACTAACCATAGGGTTCGAATTTTTTTAAACTGACTAGCAAATGTGCAGTATTTTGTTTACCATTCTATTCTTATTTTTACCTATTTTATTTAGCAACAAATGTATTTTCCCCGTTTCTTATTTCTCACCAAATCTAATTTAATTTTTAGTTTTTTTTATATATATATGTTTTTGCATTACTAACCATAGGGTTCGATCTCTCTCTCTTTTAATTTGCGGCACCATTGGTAAGTTTACCAAGCTGACGTCAAGATGGTTTCATTCTTCCTAAATCTGTCCGAGTTTATCGAGATTTATCAATGAATCGCACAACAAAAGGAGAAAACAAAATTTGGACAGTTTTTTTTTTGGTCCAACAAGAGCGTAAAAAATAATCTATAACAAATAATTATGTAATTTTATATAACATTTTCTGACACAAGGTAAGAATCAGTCAATTAAATTAAATACTGTTCGACTCCTCATAAGTGTCTCTCTATTTATGCTGCATAGGCATCCGTGTCGTGTAATATATGTAAATGAAGCTGATAATGAGCAGGCGATAGGCTACACTGCCTCAATAAAAACACATTCATCAAACCAGCTGACATGCTGTGGCACAAAACACCAGAAAAAAAAAACATCTCAGAAAAGCAGAGAGAGAAAGACATAAAAACACACAGTCAGTGATGGGATGGTTAGTCGGCTCAGCTGTTTAATGCTGGTTATTGTGAGGAGTTGGAGTGAGTAATCCACACACGGGGGAATAGATGCAGATTCATCAAATCAACAGCAAGTGCTTCATTATCTCCTTAACGTGCCGAGAAACAATCTCATCTACACTCATTAAAACACTTCAGACCGGATCAGACCAGACTATACAAGAGCTTAAAGAGAGAGATCTGAAAAAAAAAAAATCTAAATTAATGTCATTATTGACTGCTTTAGGGGCTTTTCATTTGCTTTCAGGAGCTTAAAAGTGTGCGTTCAGTGTGTGTGTGTGTGTGTGTGTGTGTGACTTTTAAAAGCTATATACTATTTAAACATGTTTGTAATATTTATAACTTTTTATGTCATAGAAATAGTATAATTATGTTTTGATTATATAATTATATATTTATAAAAATAATATAGAACTACAATTTTACATTGTAGTATTATATATTTTTATATACTTATACTTTTTTATATTTGATATATTTAAATTACTAATATCATATATTTAAAACAATTATACAATTTATATACTATATAAACTGTATAATTATACATATGCATATCTATAATTACAATTTATGTTATATACTTTTATACATATAATTACACTCTTTTACACTAATGCTGTTTTTGTATTTGATATTTAAATTACTAACAACATATTTAGAATAAGGCAACAGCTACTTGCACTAAATGTAAATAGTAATAAATGCTATTTACACTAAGTGCAAATAGCATTATTTTTTTACGATTTGTTATTTACACTGTGCAAATAGCTATAGATTCTATTTACACTATCTGTATAATTATACATATGCATATCTATAATTACAATTTATGTTATATACTTTTATACATATAATTACACTCTTTTACACTAATGCTTTTTTTGTATTTGATATTTAAATTACTAACAACATATTTAGAATAAGGCAACAGCTACTTGCACTAAATGTAAATAGTAATAAATGCTATTTACACTAAGTGCAAATAGCATTATTTTTTTTACGATTTGTTATTTACACTGTGCAAATAGCTATAGATTCTATTGACACTATTTTAAAGGGGTCATATGATGCTATTTTAAAAATCATTATTTTGTGTGTTTGGTGTAACAGAATATGTTGACATGCTTTAATGTTCAAAAAACACATTATTTTTCAAATACTGTACATTATTGTAGGTCCTCTATGCCCCGCCTCTCTCAAACGCTTCGTTTTCTACAAAGCCCCTCCTTCCGACAAGCGCAGTCTGCTCTGATTGGCCAGCTGACCCAGTGCATTGTGATTGGCCGAACACTGCAAGCACTCGTCGGAAATGTAACGCCCCTTACCATAATCACGAGCTTCATCTTTCAAAATAAATGTAAAGACAGAGCTCGAAAGGGGAACAGAGTCGCGTGACAGACACCGTGATGAAGCTGGTATGTGTTTGCAGTACACAAGCCACGGTTAAGACAGCTGACTCCACTGTGATGTGTCTCGCGCTCTCTCTCTCTCTTGATCGCTCGCTCTCAATTTCAATTCAATTTAAGAGTGCTTTATTGGCATGACAAAAATTATACATTTGTATTGCCAAAGCAATTGCAGCTGGACTGCTTACAAATAGCACACATATGTATTAACAGAAATAAAAATAATAATAGTAATAATATATAAAAAGTATTAAGCTTGTAGTGCAAAATGAATTACTAATGTATGTATATGTATAAACTAGAAATAAAATAAAATAAGGGATTAGACATATTTACAGAAGCAAAATATACATCTAAGTAATATAATACAGTAATTTGGCATAATATAATGTAGATGTGCTGGAAACATCAGATCAGGGCAGGTTGAGTGTTTTCTCTTCTATGGTGACAGGCAGACACATATCTCTCTCTCGCTCTTTCTCTCTCTCTCTCGCGCGCCCTCTCTCTCTCTCACACACACACACACACACACGCACAATGCGCAAAACTCTGCATTTGAAAAGTCAATAGCAAATACTTAAACTAATAACAAAACAGTAGCTGATTCAGAAGCGCCAGATTGTCATAGCAAAGTAAGAATTACCTCCTCTCCTAGGTTCACGAAACGGTCGTCCATAAAATGCATTGCTGTTCTGTTGTAAGTGATCTTAAAGATTCCTAAATGCATCTACTTCCTGAAGGCAAAATAAAGTGCTTTTGCTTTCGCCGAGAAACACACAGCGTCTCCCTGACATGCTGCTTCAACACTAACTGCGGTTACTGAAACCACGCCTTCTTTCTTTGCGTGAACATTTGGGCGCATTATGCTAATATTTCCACATAGTGAGGTAGATATGTGGGGGCGTGTTAGAACGAGTCGTTTTAGGGGGGCGTGGCAGAGTCTTAACTTTGATAAAGAATATCTCTTTGGTTTTGAGACTTTAGTCTTTGCAACTTCAGGGATCTTATCTATGCACAATCAGCTTGTAACACTCCCAAGAGAAAGGAAAACTTGAAATCGCATCATATGACCCCTTTAAGAATTTTCTGCTATTTATAGTAGTTACTGCACCTCAGTATTGTAGTACATTATAAAACAGTACGCAATAATAACGTATTGAGTGTAAATTGCAATTTTAATTCAAATGATTAAATGGATGCCACTTTAATGGGACACTAAATCCCTCCCTACACCTACTTGATATTTTATTTTCAACTTTTCGATTATTTCCTTCATTTTTATTAAAAATAAATGCCTTTCTGATTTGATATGAGATTTGAAAAGGAAGAAAAAAGTTCAGCAAAAGGCGGATTTGAACTCAGGTTGATCGCATCAAAAAGCACGCGCTTTACCATCTACGCCACTGGAATGAAGTTTAACGAGTCACTACTTTTGTAGTGTTGACTCCCACAATCACACGCTGGTGGGTGGAGTTAGTGTAAATAGCCTCTGCCAACAAGATGGGCTATTTGCACTTAGTGTAAATAGACACTCCATTAGAATAATTACACAATTTATGTAATTTACTACAATATACACTGTATTATTGTTTCATTTATATAATTACATAATCTATAATAATAATTTATGTTATAGACTTACATAATTATACAAATAAATGAAATAATATTGTTTTGAGAACATTTCTAGCATCATTTGTTTGCAGATGCCACTTATTTTGAAATGTGTATCCAATACAATGAAATTCACCCATTTTTTTAAGTGTAACTTGAAGGCAGGGTAGGTGATTTGGTTAAAACATTTTTTTTGTGATGCTGGTTAAAAGTCTCATCACATCCCGACAGCAATCACTTAGGGGTCTAAATCTATTTATATCATCTGTGCAAGGTATAGGACCATAAAATGGTCCTCCAATCAAATTATTCGGTCCAAAGATTACGATAGGCTGTCCTACCTGCCTGTCAATCTATGTATTTGCATACCTCTGGAAACTGTTTGCGCAGACATGATACGATATCGGCGTGTTCATTACACTATTGCAGACCAAGTGAGAATGGAAGGCGTTATTACTGCAACATTATACGCTTTGTACTGTAATATTTTCTCAGCTGTGAATGAGACATGAGGTAATCTGACAGCGTTGACGCCGTCTCTCATCGTGTCGCTGGTTAGCCTCTGGTCTGTCTGAGCGTGTTCATGTGTTTTGAGGAGGCGTGGCTTTGGAGAGTGATTTGCAGGGAGGGTGGAATCTTATGCTTTCAAAGCTTGCTATTGCTAGCCTTTCCGAAATCATCTACCCTAGCTATCTTTAAGTGTCCAAAGGATCCACAATAAATAAATAAAGAAACAAATAAAGAAATGCTGACAGAACTCAAAGGAATTCTTCCTTTGAGGGAAATTCTGATGTAATAAACCCCCTTTATCACTATGAGAGCTGCTGTTCTTCATTCGTAAAGTCATCTGAAAAGATCTTCAGCATCCATGTTTCCACCAACAGAGCCAAACACACAGAGAGCAATCGCGGCAGCGGAGCGACTGATCCAGAGCGATACTCTCTGAGCTCATTACCTCACACTCATCACTAGAGGCTCATGGGAAGGTTTGGGTTGCAAACAACAAAGAAGAACCAGGAATCTGGTGCAACGAAGACTTCCATCAGCACACATACACCTTACAATACTGCAAAATACACACACCTCTCAATAAAACACCTGCATGTGACATCACAGTGCATGCACACACACACACACACACACACACACAAGTGAAGACTGCAGACGCTGCACTATACTGTAACGAACATAAAAAGCATCACAGGAGTACCTTAAAATAATATATTAGTATTATATATGTTTCTAAAGATAAAATATATAAAAGTAAATTAATTAAATTCATTATTAAAAGTAATTATATGACTAAAATACTGTTTTTATGACACCCCTGTTATGCTTTGATGGTTCTTGTTTTATCCTTTTTTTGTTTATATACAAATACAATATATAAAAAATATATTAACAATATAATTATTACTAACATTTAGTATATAAAGGTGAATTAATTAAACAAGTCATTGCACAACTAATATACTGTTTTTATATTGTTTACTTTTTTAAACAATAAAGTTTATAATTTTTACACTATATATATAAAAATTGTATACTTATATCATTATATACCTAACTACAATTTATGTTTTATATAATAATATACAATTATAAAATAAATAAAAGTATTATTTATATATCCCATTATATAATTTTAACTATTTATTTGCATATAATTACTTTTTATACTAACATATTTTAAATACATTTGACATTTAAACTAATTACTAATATATTTAATATATTTAAAATAATTATACAATTTATTTACTACTATATAAATTGTATAATTATTGTTTTATTTAAATATACAATTACATATCTATGGTTGCAATTTTTATGTTATGTACTTACGTAATTATATAAATATATAAAACAGCATACACTACTACTATTATATTTTAAATACAATTGTTATTGTTGTTTTGAAAATCTGTAGCACCATTTTCTTGCAGATGCCACTTTTAAGTGCAAAAACTTCTGAGTGCAGTGAAATGCACGTATAGGTGTGATTAAGGGTGCCCAAATAGTTGTATTAAACAACAACAACAACAACAAACTAACAAATAAATAAATTATTGATTGTTTGGAAGGACATGAGCATGAATGGATGAATGAGCGAGTGCAAATGATGATATTATTTTCTTCTGGGTGATGGAAACTCTTTCCTGAGCATGTTAGCGGCTGCAGGCTGACAGCCAACTGCTGAACATATGCTGACGTTTACTCCTGATAAAGCGTGTCTCAGCAGCAGACGAGGAAACACACACCCCTGAGAGGAGCCGCGGTATTTAAAGTGTCGAGTGTAACGGTAGCGATCTGAGATGGACCCTGAACTTCCTCCCGATGAAACCATAGCTGCTCGTCTCATCAGAACGCAACGGCTTGGTATAACAGCCATCAATAAATGGAGAGAAACCCCGTGAGTGTGTGTGTGTCGCTGCTCGATTACACCGTGAGTGCTGGCAGCATCACTCACTCCAGCGCTCGCATTCTGTTAGACGACTGAAAGCTAATCTGAGACACTCACAAAGTCCATCCATAGTAAAGAGACCCACAATCTGATAAGTGTGACTGGACTCTTCTCTCCTCACACACAACACAACACACACACACACACGGACATCTCTCTAGTTCACTCACTCTATGCTCTCTACATTAACAAAAAAGACTAAAAAAGACTCCTTTAAGTAACCAGTGACAATTCAAGTCACTGGTTTTATGATTTGGGGTGCAATGCTACATACATACATACATACATACATACATGTGTATATAAAAGCCTTTGTATTAAATATATTTATTACAAAAGAAAAATAAAACAAAAAATAAGTATGTATCAACTTAATAATATCTATCTATCTATCTATCTATCTATCTATCTATCTATCTATCTATCTATCTATCTATCTATCAGGATCTGTAGGTAACCCTGTGTGTTCTGGTGAATTAGCTGTGTGTGTGTTAGCGTATGGTTCTGCTGAGCTCTACTGTCATTTCATTTTCCTTATGAAAGACTTTTACAGTCATCGAGACTCGAGGGCAAATCAGAATGAACTCAAAACAGAGTGTGCGAAGCGAACTAAAGCCAATTACTCTGCGCTGAATTCTTCATTTGTGCCACCGAAGAGTTTTAAAAGAAATGTGATCCGTGACTGCTAATCAAATGGAGCCCAGAGCTAACTAGCAGCGCTAATGATACGACCACCATCTGACTGCCATAAATTACAGCAGCGTTCAACAGCCTGTTTCTTTATTGGGAATGGAAACCAACGTGGCGTCTAGTTTGACTAATATCACGCTAACATGAGTCGTTTTATTGGTGCTGCTGGATTGGCGGCTGAGGAGTGCAAACGCAGCGCTCTCCGCTTCACCTCCATAAAGTGGGAAATCACTGACATCAGCACTGCGCCTCTGAGCAAGACATTTAACCCCGCATCGGCCCGGATGGGACAGAGCCACTAATGGCGCTTTTCCACTGCATGGTACGGCATGATACGGTTCGGTACGGTTCATTTTTGGGGGGGTTTCCACTGGGTACAGTACCTGGTACCTGGTACTTTTTTTTAGTACCACCTCAGTTGAGGTTCCAAGTGAACCGTACTGTTACCAAAACGTGACGTTTAAACTCTGCTGATCACGGATTGGCCGGAGAGAATCGTCACTACCTGCGTTACTGAACTTGCGACACAAGACACAATAGACCCGCTTAGATTTAAATCAGCACAGCCAGCGAAGGATCAAACGCAACTGTTTTGAACGAGCGCACCTTTTGTCAACAACCAAACAATTTCATTGTCTGTTGAGGAAGTACAGATGTTCCTCTCGTTGATAGCAAGAGCTTGATGGGGCAATGCGGAATGAAAATGTTTTTCAGGAGTCGCGGCAGTAGAGGCGGCACAACTATAGCGACATGTGAATGATCCCGTCCACTCTAAAGCGGTACTAAACTGCAGTGGAAACACAAACCGAGCCGAGCCGAGCCGAGCCGTGCCGAGCCGAGTCATACCACGCAGTGGAAAAGCTCCATAATACTTCTGCAGTGAACCCAGTAACAGCAGATACATGACAAACATCACTACTGATCACACCTCTGCACTAGTGAGTGAGTGTCTCAACCTGCAACATCTGACTGATTCCTCAATCTATTACCCTGGAAACACCCTAGCAACCAGTCAGAATACTTTAGCGACTGAATAGCAATGCCTTGACAACCATTTATTAATCTATCATCCTAGAAACCAGTCAGAGCACCCTAGTAACCAGTCATAACACCCTAGCAACACCCTAGTAACCAGTCAGAACAATTAACCAGCAACACCCTAGCAATCTAGAAATCAGTCAGAACTAGGGCTGCACGATAAATCGCATGCGATATTTAACGCGCATCTTGTCAGTAAAGCCGGCTCTTTAATCAGCAGTAAATCTCCATCACCTGCAGACTTTCACATTGAGCAGCATTAACTACACAGAGCCGTTGTTCACTGACAAGCTGCGCAAAACCACGATCATATTTTGCGCATGTTTTGCGCAGCTTGTCGGTGAACAACCAGTCAGAGCACTCTAGCAACACCCTAACAACAATCTAGAAATCAGTCAGAACACCCTAGTAACCAGTCAGAGCACTCTAGCAACACCCTAGCAACTGCATAGTAATGCCATGACAACCATTTAACTATCTATCATCTATCCAGCCACCCATCTATCCATCTATCATCCTAGCAACCAGCTAGAACACCCTAGAAACCATTCAGAACACTTTTAGCAACCAATGATCTATCTGTCCATTCATCCATCACCCTGGCAACACCCTAACAACAATCTAGAAATCAGTCAGAACACCCTAGTAACCAATCAGAGCACTCTAGCAACACCCTAGCAACTGCATAGCAATGCCATGGCAACCATTTATTTACCTAACAACATCCTAGCATAGCAACACCTTGGCAACCACAATCCCAGTGTGGTAATGAGCTTTGTGCAAACGGTTTGTGTCTTTTGAAACTAAAGAGCAAACAATACTTGACACATGATCATGATTATTACACTACAAACTAAAGCTAATTTACATTTGAGCGATGTGGGGAGATTATTAATTTTGAATGGCTGCTTTTGAAGTAAAACACCTTCTTCAGTGAGAAACCTCCTCACCTGCGTAGAGCTCCGGTCCGTAAACAGCTCCTACCACTGGATTGAGTTTCCAGCCTGCAGAAACAGTACAGAGATGTGCTTGAACAGATCCCACAGCTGTCAGAGAGACATGTTAAACTGCTGTATGCTGAGAGGAGCTCTTACTGTTTGTGTACGGGTTTACTACTTTCTTATTCGTCATCACTCTCGCCGTGGCGTTGTTCACCTGAGAGAGAGAGAGAGATGTGAGTGTGCTGCAGGAACATATATCAGAAACACGTGCGTATGAACACTGTGCTCATGCAAACACACATGCATGTGAGTAATATCCCTCTGCTCTTCCTGTAATCACCCACAATGCATCTATTCTGGCTGTTCTGAGCCATGCACACCACACTTTACAGAATGCGTTATTATAGTCGGATATTTTGCTTCACTTTTGCAGTTTTTTTTTTTTTTTTAATAGATGCTTGGAATTGATGACATACACAAGCGATGGATAAAAACCCCATGAATAACAGCAGCAAACAACACTTTGAGCATGATATATGATCTGAAATACAGTTTGGTTTAAACAATTTTTACCCAATGAAAAATGGTGGAGGGTGATGAATATAATAAGATTCACATTTAATAGATTTCATAGATTCAGCTTTATATATTTTAAATATTTGGTTTCACATCCAACAGATTAAATTCCTCTCAGAGATCAAAACAAATTCAAGAAATATTCTGGGCAATTATCAACTTAATATCTATTGACAGTATCTGTCAAATATTTTGTAGTTTTTCTCTAAATTGAACAAATATCATAACATATCATATAATAATATATACAAATACCTACAATTAAATTAAATACTATTCTTTTTATCACTGTACAGTAACAGGAATTTCAGAGGAAATGTTCTTAATATTAATTTTAATTATTGTTACAATACAACAAATGTTAAAAGTCCTAAAACTGTATAAATGTATTGTATACAAAATATAGTTTATTTTTTCTTTCTTTTGATTTTGGGGTGAAAAATACCTTCATAAGCCATATTTAACCCAGAATATTGCTTTCAGATGTCACAAACACACACACAAACATGGACAGGTATCATGCAGATGCTCGGGAATCTCTGGATGAGGACAGGAAATGAGGACAGCAAGCAGGAGAGGAGGACGGAGAGAAGGGGAAAAGGAAAGCACCTCGATTTTACGTCCTTCTACGATTGTACCGTTTAGTTTCTCCCGCGCATGATCTGCGTCTGTGCTTGTTTCAAAAGTTACAAAGCCAAAGCCCTGCGGACGCATGGAGTGAAACAGAAGGAGAGAGAAACCGCATTGAAGGGGTTTGGAGAGAGTCAGGAGCCCACGACAGGAGGAACATGATCAGGAGGATTACAGAGACAAGCCACAGTAAAACACCAGCACAGATGCACAGTCTGTGTGTGAAGAGCTTCATTTCAGATCATGTTAGTGACACAAATAACATACGACACCTATAAACCTCTTTCAGAATGTCACATGTGAAATACTGCCTTACTCAGAGTTAAAAAAGTGACTAAAGAAGCTTTAAAGCGAGTCAGTTCCCTCGACGTTCATAACATATTAGCCGGCAACTATTTTCAGCCGAGCATGTAAAACTCTGGCTGTTAATTTAATTAATTTAAATTGATATACAAAAATGTATTAATATTGCAAAAACTTTGATTCATTTAATACTTAAAACTATACATAAGTGTGTGTATATATATATATATATATATATATATACTACATAATTTATATATTTATATACACATTTATATATAAATTATTCAATATATCATACTGTCTATTACTAATATTTATTACTAAACATTTTCTTTTTTTTATATATAAAGGATGAAATATCAGTCATATAGTTTGTTTATAATTTATAATTTAATTTAATATTAAAATATCATATCATACCCAGAGTTAAAAAAAAGAGGTTCAATAGTGTAGCTTGAAAGACGGTCTGTGATGACAGAGTGTCCAATAGGAGAGGCGAGGGGGCGGGGCTACATGTGATGGACGGATGCTGTTTGGCTAATGCAGGATGAGCTACTAGCAGCTCGAGGGGTGGGTTTATATCAGTCAGAGAGATAAAGGAATAGGCCGAGGGCCTCATGTGTCCCGTGGACGTCTCACACGCCTGCATCTGCTCTGGTTTATCACGCAATAATGAGCTTACACAGAGGGCCAAACCACAGCCCATTTTTCAAAAGGGACAAACATATTGAATGCAAATTGCTGCTTCTTAGAGAATAGATTGTTTATTAATGGGCCGGTTGGTTCATTATACAGCAACGCTGTAGGTGGGGACAGCAAGGCATCATGGGTAATGGGCTTTGTAGGGCACACAGCAGCGAATGGTTGTCATCTTCATCTTATCTAGCCGTGGGGGGGCAGTGACTGCTGACAGAAGCTTCAGCACGCACCTGTCAATCATGCTCTGTCAATATTAAAGCATTTCTGTTAGAGACCCCAGATATAAAACTGTACTGTGAGTGTTTAGGAAAAATGCATGCCGACTTTTTTGTAAAACAGGGATAAAGCTTCAGTCAGTAGATATAGCTGCAGGGGAGACCGGGGCTAGTTGTCACAATAAAACCACACTGACATACATTAAGAGTCACTATATAATGAAACTGTGCAATCAGGTCAAGTTTGTAACGTAAATATAGGCCCATTTTTATATTTGACCTAATTTCATTGATTAAAATCTATTGCAAATCAATTTACATTTAGTATGTTACTTTGAGTTATATTTCAACAATTTAAATTGACTTTAAACAGCATTATTTATGCACTATTAGAGTTTTATTTAATATTTTGAATTTGATTTCAATTGTTATTTATTTATTTAATTAATTATTTTAAATATTACTATTTAGGTTCGATTTAGGTCTAATTTATAATAACCTAGGTTCAGTTTGATTATCTTTTTGTAATTTTAGTGGTTTGTTTAGTTTTAAGTTTTTCATCTAACATTTATATTTTTATTTTTATTTTATTTAGTTTACGTTTTCCACCTAATATTTATATTTCTGTTTTATTTTTTTCTATTCACCTTAAATGAACAAAAACATTTTTAGTTATTTATTGATTGATTTATTATTTTTACTCATTAAGAGTCACTGTATAATTAAACTGCATTTAACATTTTTAATTTTAGTAGAATTTTTAGTCATTTTGTTTTCAGCTTTTAAACATTACCAGGTTCAATTTATTAATTAGTATTTTTAGTGCTTTATTTAGTTTACATTTTTCGCCTAATATTTATATATCCGTTTTATTTTTATTTTCATTTATATTTTAATTCCATTTCAGTTTTATTTTCATCAACAATAAAAATTTTTTATTTATTTATTTGATTTATTTATCTTAGGTTTCAGATAAACATTTAGGGCATTTTAATGTTTAACATTCCAGCAAGTATGATCAGAACATATAGGTTTTAGGACATTGCTAATATTATTATTACACATACAGCATGAGTTTGTCTTTCGTCTGAACAAACAGTGGATCAGCGTGAAGTCCTCAGCTGACCTCTCTCTACGACCAGCGCTCTGATTATGTGCACTGCCGTGTCTGTTTTGTTCTTTGACTTTATAGTCTTTAATCTGAGTTGAGGAAGATCAAACCGGCATCTCTAAGCCAATAAAGAGTTCAGAAGAGACTGAGAAAGATCATGGCTACACAAACAGAGAGGAGAAGAAAGCAAGCGTCATTCATACCTTTGATCCTCTTTCATTAAAGATAATCTCCACGTCTAAGATCTTCCCAAATTGCTGCAGAAAAGGAGAGCGGGAGAAACAGAGAGCGAGGGAGAGAAAAAGCAAGATGAAGACGGGAATAAGAGAGAGATAAATCGATTAGGAGCCTCTGTGTCCATGAGAAAGTGGGGCTCGAAACCTGGGATGAAATAATAACATCATGCATCCGGCAAACTAGAAATTACATAACACACAGGACATGCTAGATGTTTCCCACTGCAGGCTTCATAAAACAACTTTTCCTGAGTTTAGATTGTGAAAAACTTTTGCAATTCTGTTGCTATAATCACATTCCACCGCATTATTAAGTGTCTGCAGACACTGAGGTCTCTGGCGTGAGGTTTGTAATGTGAAGTCTGCGGTGTGAGGTTTCTAACATGATATTTTTGAAGTGAGGTCTCTGGTGTGAGGTCTGTCAGGTGAGGTTTTCATTAGAAGTCTGTGGCGTGAGGTTTCTAACATGATATTTTTGAAGGGAGGCCTCTGGCGTGAGGTCTGTCAGGCGAGGTTTTCATTAGAAGTCTGTGGCGTGAGGTTTCTAACATGATATTTTTGAAGGGAGGCCTCTGGCGTGAGGTCTGTCAGGCGAGGTTTTCATTAGAAGTCTGTGGCGTGAGGTTTCTAACATGATATTTTTTTAAGTGAGGTCTCTGACGTGAGGTCTGTCAGGTGAGGTTTCTAACATGATATTTTTGAAGTGAGGCCTCTGGCGTGAGGTCTGTCAGATGAGGTTTTCATTAGAAGTTTGTGGTGTGAGGTTTCTAACATGATATTTTTGAAGTGAGGCCACTGGCGTGAGGTCTGTCAGGTGAGGTTTTCATTAGAAGTCTGTGGCGTGAGGTTTCTAACATGATATTTTTGAAGTGAGGTCTCTGACGTGAGGTCTGTCAGGTGAGGTTTTCATTAGAAGTCTGTGGCGTGAGGTTTCTATCATGATATTTTTTAAGTGAGGTCTCTGGCGTGAGGACTCTAAGCAGAGGTTTTCTTTAGAAGTCTGTCATGTGAGGTTTCTAATGTGACATATATGAAGTCTCTGGCATGAGTTTATATTGCAAAGTCTGTGGTGTGAGGTTTCTAATGTGATTACTTTGCAGTGAGGTTTCAATTGTAATGTATATGGAGTCTCTGGCATGAGGTCTCACATGAGAGGTTTTCCATTAAAAATCTGTGGTGTGAGGTCAAAAAGCGCTTTCGCACCACGTAGTTCTAGGATGCGTTTCATATGCGTTTGGCCAATCATTGTACACTTACGTCACTGGTTCCTATAGAACTGTTTTAGAACCTACTCTGAAGTAGGAGCTAATTTAGTTCCTGCAAATGGAGTTTCTAGGTCTAAAAACTAAAACCGCCAAAAAGCGGGAACTTCCGCCAATAATTCTATGGAAAGGTTCTTCCGTGGTGAGATATGCTTTTTAGGGTGAAGTCTCTCACGTGAGGTCTATCATGTCAGCTTTTTTTATTAGAAGTCTGTGGTGTGAGCTTTCTAATAATGTCATTATATTTCTAATGTGATGTCTATATCTCTGGCATGAGGTCTATCATGTGAAGTTTTTTTTCCCCAGCAGAAGTCTCTGGGGCGAGGTTTGCAATCTGAAGCCTGTGGTGTGTAATATGATGTTTTTGCAGTGAGGTCTCTGGCGTGAGGTCTTCAGTGGAAGTCTGTGGTGTGAGTTTTTTAATATTTTTGCAGTGAGGTCTCTGCCGTGAGGTTTTATATCTGTCGGTGGTGTGAGGTTTGTAATGCGTTGTTTTTTCTAGTGATGTCTCGGGTGTGAGGTCTCTCAGGTGAGTTTTTTTTTTCTATCAAAGTCTGCGGTGTGAGGTTTCTAATGTGATGTATTTGGAGTCTCTGAAATGAGGTATCTAGCATGAGATTTATAAAGTGAAGTCTGCAGTAGGCTTTCTAATAAGATGTTTTTGCAGTGAGGTTTCTCAGTGGAAGACTGTGGTTTGAGGTTTCTAATGTGATATATATGGAGTCTCTGGTGTGAGGTCTACTAGATGAGTCTTTTTTTTCAGAAGAAGTCTGTTGTGTGATATTTCTAATGTAATGTATCTGGAGTCTCTGGAGTGAAGTCTCTTGCATGAGGTCTATCGTGAGGTTTCTTATGTGAATTCCGTGGTGTGAGGTTTATGATATGATGTTTTTGCAGTGAGGTCTGTCAGGTGAGGTTTTTCAGTTTTTCATTAGAAGTCTGTGGTGTGAGGTTTCTAATATGTTGTATCTGGAGTCTCTGGCATGAAGTTTCTAATGTGATGTTTTTTCATTGAGGCCTCTTGCGTGAGGTTTTTAATAATATTTGTCTGTGGTTTGAGGTTTCTAATGTGATGTTTTTGCATTGAGGCCTCTGGCGTGAGGTTTTTAATAATACTTGTCTGTGGTTTGAGGTTTCTAATGTGATGTTTTTGGAGTAAAGTCTTTGCTGTGAGGTCTCTCAGGTGAGGTTTTGTTAGAATCTGTGATTTATAATGTGATGTCTGCAGCGTGAGCTTTCTGATGTGATGTTTTTGCAGTGAGCCCTCCGGTGTTCTAACTTTTGTTTGAAGTTTGTGATGTGATTTTTTTAAAGGTATCTGCAGTCTCTGGTGTGAGGTCTCTGGCGTGAGCTCTCATCAGAGGCCTGAGAGTGTCCCTGAGAGAGGAAAAAAAATGGGTAACACGGGCAATTTAATTATGTACACACTTTATTTGTATTATTATAAAGATAAACTGAACTATGTGTGTACAGTCTGTTTTTTTCTGTCTTTCACTGATGACAAGCTCCTTTTTCCTCTCTCTTCCTCTCTCTCCCTCTCTCTCTTGTTTTTGTTGTGTGTCATCGCTCCCAAGGAGGGAAACGTTCACCAATCTTCGATTTAGCTTCCGTGCTGTTTGGATCGTTAGAAAGCGGAGGGATGAGGGACGAGCGCAAACCCCTCTAATGAGCGCAGAGAGAGGGTGGCTTTTAATTGATGCCTGCGATTATTTCGTATTATTTCATTAAAAGTAATTACCCTGTCGAGCAAGCTGCATCGCCATCATTTGGCCACTGCAGTAGAAAATAAACCCTCTGCGAGTGCCGTGCCGGATGGAGAGAGATGACACTGGAAGTGCTAATAGGATCAAGAGCGGTGCAGTTGTCTACAGACACCGACTACAAAAAAGGATGAATAGACTGGGTTATGGGGTCAGCGCTAATCAGACTACATGCTAATGTTAATTAGCTGTTTGTGTGAGAGAGGAGAGGTCAGGAAAGAGTCGCTAGACATGAGAAGCAAAGATTCGGGAAGCCTTCATCTTCATTAACAGCACTGCAATTAGGAAAGAAAAACAACACGAGATCTCTTTAAAATCTTGGTTGTTTCTCAGACAGCGGTTAGATGAAATGAAGAGTGAATGCAGACTTTTGGTTAAGATTCCTGCTTCTTGATTGTTTCTTCTGAAAAAAAAAAATCACCAGTAATCTCACATTTCTCCTCTAGAGCTTCAAACGAGATCTCAATAAAGTCTCAAACTGTGCTCAGATTTGCCAAGTGTGCAATCAAAGTCAGAGGTCTCAATATGAACTCAAATTGTGTCAACATCAACTAACCTGGCTGCGATCTGTATTTTAGGAGAATCATCCGAGATGATACTGAGACATAACAGTAATCTCCTTTTAAGTCTCCTGAGCAATAACACTTTCTGGTGATCTTTCGGCATAAAATCCAGAAACGCTCAAACTGGAAAGAAAAATCCCAAATGAGATCTCATTAAAGCCTCAACTGCTTCCCCTAGATTTCAGTCAAATAAAGGCTTTTGCTGAAGTCTTCAGCTTCTCACATATTTCTCCTGAGAAAAAGACTCCAGTAATCTCACAAGATCTCAACAATGTCGAAAATTGTGCTCAGATTTGCCAAAACACCAAAGTCTGCAATCAAAAGTCAGATATCTTCATATGAACTTAATTTCTTATCAAATAATCTGGCTGCTACATTTTCTTTTTTCCAAACAGATTTTAGGAGAAACATCTGAGATGACACTGAGACACAACAGCGGACTCATTTGTCCCATGAGCACTAAAACTTTCCTATGAACAGTGATCTCTCAGTATAAGATCCAGAAACACTCAAACTGTAAAGATCACAAATCACAAATTAGATCTCATTAATGTCTCAGTTGTTTCTCCTAGATTTCAATGGAGACTTTTGCTGAAGTCTTCTTCTCAGATGTTTCTCCTAAAAAAGACTCTAGTAATCTCACATGTATCTCCTCTAGAGTTTTAGAAGAAATCTCAACAATGTCTCAACCTTTGCTCAGATTTACCAAGATATAAGTATCTGCAGTCCAAAGTCAAGAGATCTCATTACGAACTCAAATTCTCTCAACATCAAATAATCTGGCTTTTATCTACCTTTTATTTCTCCAGATTTTTAGGAAAATCATCTGAGACATAACAGCAAACTCCTTCAACTTTCCTTAGCAATAAAATATCCCTCTGATTGCTTATTTTTCAGCATAAGACCTATGCTCAACCTGAAACGAAAAGTCACAAATGAGATCTCTTTAAAGTCTCAACTGTTCCTCCTAGATTTCGATGCAATTAAACTGAGGCTTTTGCTGAAGTCTTCTGCTTCTCAGATGCTTCTCCAGGCAAACAGACTCCAGTAATCTCACATTTCACCTCAAGAGTTTCGGTAGAGATCTCAACAATGTCTCACACTGTGCTCAGATTTTCCAAGATACTAAAATCTGCAATCAAACGTCTCAATATGAACTCAAATATTTATCATCAAATGATCTCAGCTGCTTTCCACATTCATTGTATGCCTCTAGTTTTATTTCTCCAAATGAATTTGAGGTGAAACATCTGAGACAATGCCGATACTAAAACAAATTGAGTGCAATAACATTTCAAGAATGACTGTGCTCATGCTCTTTTTGTTTGTGCTACAGCTGCAATGGCTTAATATTATTGCTCATCCAATCAGCTTCTGTGTGAAACGGTAGGCTGAAATCTATCAATTTATTCAAATGAATGCACATTCTGCGGAGG